CGTCTCCCCGATGGGGGGCTGAGTACATAAGCCTAAACCCGTCCATCCCCAGGGGCGCGGGTGACCATCACGCTGCGCTGTAAGGACCCGCGAGTGTTACAGCTGGACGCAGAGGGCGTGGGAGCGACGCTGGACATAGCCCCCTCCATCGAGGTACGCCACGGGTGCACCCGAGGCCCATAAACCACCCCTATCCCGTCACGAGGGGAGAAAACAGGGCTACTGAGCAAGAGTATTCAGCAGCCAGTGTTACCCCGGGGTACAGATAATGGCCAGGGGACGCAGGGTGGCGTGGAGCAGTGCTCGGAGAGGCGGGGGCTGGGAGGGTGTGGGCGAGATGATTCCACCTTTCCCAGACCCCCTGACTTCCTTCCCCAGGCGCTGTCCTCCCTGGAATCGATCATCACCTCCTATCCGTTCTTCTGCCGTCCCAAGGGCTTGAGATTGGGCGACGCCTGGCACTTCCACCCGCCCGAATAGCTACCGCAAGGGAATAAATAGCTCGCATGGTGGGTGCGGTCGTGGGGGCCTGGCAGGGGAGCGGGCACGTGGCGCTCACTGGGTGCTGTAGGCCTGGCCTTCGTCCCTTCCTACGCCGCAGACCAACGCGTGGCGGCCGAGCGAGGTGAACGAGGACTTCCGCCTGTGCCCCAGTTACCCCGCGCGGTGATGGTGCCTCGTGCGGTGGACGGTGATACCCTGGCGCGGGGCGCCCGCTTCCGCCAGGGAGCCCGCTTCCCCGGGTTCCGCGGCCACCCAGCTCCCAGCGGAGCCGTGAGCCCCGCCCCGCCCCAACCCTGCGGTTAGGAGTAACCACGTCCGCGCTGGGCTTTTCTGCATCGGCCAGGCCAGTTCGCCGTCCCACAGGTGCCGCGGTTGCCGCCCTAGCTCCTGCCTTTTCTGGCCGTGCGGGGGAGGGTGCCTCCAAATCCGCTTCAGCCTGCTTTCCCGAGCTCCTGCCCAGCCCCCCTCCCGGGTTTCGGAGCCAGAGCTCGGTGGCCCCGCCCCCTGGCCGGTCGGGGCCTCCGAAGCTCAGACCCTTCTTTGTCAAACCAGGACCCGCCCCCAATCGACTCGTGGGGTTCCTCCCGGTCCCGCCACAAGCAACCCAGACCCGGCTCAGAGGCTTTCGAGTTTCGCTTGTAAGGCTCCTGCGCCCCGGTCCGCTCCTGCCAGCTCTGACCCGTTCGTGTGTAGACCTGGCCTGGGGGCTCTGAGCGAAGTTCCTGAACCAGGAGCCGAGTCCCCGTCTGCGGGTGCTGCTGCGGTCCAGCCAGGCCCTGGCCGAGCCCCAGAAGCGGCGCTGCCGAGGATGAGGAGCTGCTGCGACCCGCGCTGGCGGGGGCTTGCCCTGCGGCCGGGGGCAGCATCTTGGACACGCGCTCAGCCCGCGCTGCCAAACAGGCCCCCGGGACCCGCAGCGGCGCAGAATCCAAGGCTGCCTACCCTGGCTGGAAACGGCTGCATCGTCCCCCGGAGAGGTAAGGGGGCTTCCCATCCTCTCCCAGGTTCTCCTGCAAGACTTTTCATGGGGGTGTGGGGAGGTATCTTACAGAAACCTTGAGGACCGTTAAGCCTTTCCTGGTAGCCATCCAGCCAGGTAGGCATCCCCACTGGCACACCCCCACTGACAGACAGCTCATGACTCCCTGCGTGCTCCAACTCGGATGGAAAGAAAAAGCACTTCTTTACATTAAACTGAAAATTGTCTTCCAGGAATAACCTCCCCCCCCCCCC